TCTTGAACTCCTGAGCTCAAACGATCCTCCCGCCTCAGCCTCCCAGAGTGCTAGGATCACAGGCGTGAGCCACCGTGCCCAGCCTTAAATAACTTTTTAATTATAGGATTTTCGATCATACACAAAAGCAAAAGAATGATCTAATGAATACCAAAGGATACATCCTGTTTTATTGATCTAGCTCCTCAATTATTTTATTTGCCAAAGTATTTAAAGTAAATCATTTCATCTGTAAATATTTCAGAATGTATCTTTTAAAAGGATCCTAAGCACAATGTCACTATTACACCTGACAAAATTAGTGATAATTCCTTAGCATTCATCTTTTAGTAACATCCCGCTGGGAGAACATAAACTGAAAAAAAAAATCAGAAGAGATACAAGTTACTAAAAATGATGGTTCCATATACACTGCAAAAAGCAGAAATATAGATGACATAAAGTAGGGGTTGAAAAAGTTGAATAACTTACACATGCAATGGAAATAAAGGGAGATATTACAGAAAAAATGCTAACTTTCAACTTTAGAAAGTATATCTTCATGCAAAACATAAACAGTAATTTGTAGTTATTATAGTTAGTGGGAATTTTGTTTAAAAAAATTGCTAAATGCAATGTGGTATCCTGGATTGTACCCTAGAACGGAAAAAAAATTAATGGAAAAACTGGTGAAATCCAAATAAAGTCTATAGTTTAATTAATAGTAATGTACTCATGTTAATTTCTTAGTTTTGATAAATGTAGCGTGGTTACGTAAGCTATGAAGCTTAGGGGCATGGGCAAAGTGCATATAGGAACTCTGTACTATTAATACTTTTGCAACTCTTTTGTAAATCTAAAATTATCCCAAAATAGTTTATTTAAAGCCAAGGAAACAAATAGGCTTGAGTCCCCCAACTGGATTGAAATGAAACCTCGCCTTTCCAAATCTTCAGCCTCACAGACAGTCTAAAACTTAAGAAGCGTGCCCCCTAGTGGAAGTAGTAGTCAATTTTTTAAAGTTACTTTTTAAACCACTAACGATAATGTGCCTAAGGAGTATAATTAACCCAAATCTTTGCAAGTGAGGCCTCCCCATCCAAAATAAAAATGAATAAAATGTTATAGTCTTCTCCCTGTTTCATGAGAAAAATATATTCATTATAGAAAATTTTCCAAAAAACAAAATAAAGCTCTTACATAATTCTATCCCTAAAAGCCTCTATAGTTATTGATAGCCCTCTGAAACATATAT